TTAAACACTGATTTCATCATAGTAATCATTAGCTAACACTCACTTTTGACTTTACCATCGAATTGTATATTCAGATACCGAGAACAGAGGCAGCATTCGATCCTCGATTCGAGCACGACTTATCTTTTAATCGGTTGAACACTTTGCAATATTCACACGACTTTAAAGCCTCTTCCACGACCCTTTATTGTCGATTCGCATCGCAGCGAAACTCGTTCCCCTTCAAGTAATTAAGTGGCGCTTTTCATTCGCAGCAACATTAATCAGCTTTGTCTGTGAATATGTCACTCCGGCGGCTGACAGCAATAATGTCCTAACCCGCGGGGTAAGCTCACCTCCTTGGCTCTGAATCTTTTAAAGGCCGCTCCCTACGACGACGACGACGACGACGACGACGACGATGCAACGGTGCTGCTGCTGCTGCCTAACCGAAAAGGAGGTCGCGCGCTCAACGACATTCGTTAAGGTCGTTCCCGTAAATAATGGATTCCGAGCAACCCCGCGCGCACACGCTGAGACACTGTTCCTTTTAGCGGTGCGCGTGAAAAATTAGCGTCGCACCGTGATATTGCATGCAAATATCGCCGGACTTATGCCGAACCTGAGAAACGATGATTTCAAGGCAGGAATGCATAATGTCCATAAGACAAAAGGCTATATTAGACTTGTCAGAGAACAATTTCGAGTCTCTATTATCGTAAGACAAACAGCTTTGGGTAGTCATTTGAATAATTTCAGAATGAAGGGTTTTAATGCTGCCAAGTATTATACTGTTCAGGCCTTGTGAAAATAAAAATAGAAAATAAACGTATCATCATTTTGTCTATTGTAAACGTAGCCCTATCAAAATATGCAGAATCCAATAAAAATGTATATAATTACTACTTCCTATATTTAATTATCTAATGCATCGTGCTAGAGTTATGTGACACTACCAAACTCTACTAATCGTAGGACCTGTAAGAGTTAAAATTCGATTCACTGTTTTTGCCATTACGTCCATTTCTCTACGTCCCAAATAGTGTTCGAAAATATATGAAAAATAAAACAGAATAATATGCAAATTAATATCGAATGCTGCCTCTCGAACGTTCGCAAAAGATAGAAGCGTAACGTGTTTTAGTATTATTAACGCGATTCTGTAAAGTTTAAATAACGGCGATTCGCCAGGTTATGCCCATACGATGTTAGCTCTCTTCTAGAATCAACAGGACCTGTATAAATTGTTGGAATACTTTTACCCCTTTTTACATCTCTCCAGAGAAATGAGTTTGTTTGTTTCTCAGTAATTTATTGCCGTAGACAGTGAGCGAACGAACAATGTAAAAACCTCCCAACTGTTGTTATGATACCCGTTTACATGCAAACTGGCCTGATAATTGAATGTTTCGTGCTAATCTCTGGCAAGTCAGACCGCAGCCACATTACAAGAAAAGGCAGTATCTTGTACATTACAAGATCGTGGATTAAACAGACTCAATTGTTATCAAATACAAAAAAAAGATCCTAAGCAATTTCCTTCCTACTCCACTCGTTAAGAATAATTTAACGATGGATAAAATAATTAAGCGATTACTCCTGAAGTATTCGAAATAGAAAAAAATTGTGACCTTTCTTGTAAGTAATAGCAGTATCTATAACTTTTACTTGATGAGTCAATTGTTAGTACACTTTTTGAGAGAATGACAGATTTACTGTTCTTTCTTATACTGTGCCGCAGCTTTCCAACGTGGAGAACTAAGGAACGAAAGAATTTCTCGTTCATTAATTTCAAATATATAAATACTGGATTCATATTCTCATTTCCTAATTGCTTGATTTCGTTGGATATTTAAAAGATCGTAGGAATAGTATAAAATTTATTAACCAGAGTGAAGGAATATCTGGCTACATATTTTCCTATGAATTTGGTCACAGGAAAGTCGCATGTGCATTTGCGAATTCTAAACTGCAAGGCGGGCTAAAACGGAAGATCACGTGACGCGATGCGATTACCGGTGACAACGCGACGGTTAATTTTCTATGCGGTTTATTGACCAGAGTAATAAATAATGAGCGTTTCGCTTGAAAAAAAGAAGGTCGGTCGATTACGTTACAATGATCATTGTCATCGTATTTGCACAGCGTGCACGCTGTTCAAACGGAGAAAGGAGGTACCGCGGGTAACGAAACGAACGCGAAAGTGTACAGAGAAGAGAGCTAACGCCGTAGCGGTGTTCCCTCGAGAATACGTAGAGGAAAGGCTGGGGTAAAATCGAGTTAGTCGAACCAGTAGATTTTCAATAATTCAAAATAGAATCTCGAATTCGTCACGGTGTAATCAAATAGTTCGATCATTGATTTTTAACATGATACGAAGAAGAAACAAAGTGTCACGCATTTCGCGCAAACGGGAAATATAAAAAAATAAGAGCACAGATCAAACAAACGTAAGCGAATATAAATATCTGTCCCAGGAAATAAAAAATAATCTACGTTGAAATGCAACAACGAAAGCTTATAGAAAGATCAGGTTGACTATTAAATTTACACGCGATTGTTTTCCTCTCACTCGGATTAAAAGTTTTATTCGATTTGGATAATCTACGGGCGTCGTCGAGTAACCCGATTTCAGCCTTTGTAGGACGGCTATACACGTAGAGAGAACGTGAACGAGATCGGGAAAAATAATTGTTAAAACGTACCGACGCCGTTCGCCTGGGAGGATTGAAGTTGCACGGCGACGCTGAACCCGCGTAGCTTCACCGGCGCGGAATTCTCTTTGCCTGCGAGGAGGGCGCACTGCGGCTTTAGATCACGATGAATTATGTCGTTTTCATGGCAGTACCGCAACGCCTCCAGGATCTGTCGCATGTAATGGCTGGAAAAAGAAAGCTTCTGTTATCTCCTATGGGAGAGCCGTGCACAATATAAAGCCATGTGGTCTTTTCTTGAAATCTTCTGTGTGCGATATTGAGACGAAGCGTATAACTTCGAGACTGTCGGTATCCCCGTGTGAAACTGAACAGAACGTAACTGTGATTGGTGACGTTCAACTTTCTACAAGGGTTCGTTATAATATAACTACGAGTTTCGTCCTAAGCCCCGACGATCCCCCCATCCGAGCCCCTGGATAAAAGCGCGATAAAAAGTTTCTAACAACATTTTCTGACAAGACGGATGAATGAATGATAAAAACAGAGAACTTGCGTAACTTCGAAACGAGGTCGGATAGTTCTGTACGTGCTTTCGTAAGTTCACATTTTATGAAACACGGAGGGACGTGTTTTATGTGATTATGAAAAATGCAAGTATAATCGAGAAATAATTTTAGTAACACGCGTATGCATTAATCGAACAATTAAATAAGGACCAGTTTACATACATACGGTAATTATGTAGATTGATGAATCTGTAATTATGAATGAAACAAGATAGAGTATTTGCATTTACTGTCCTAATATTATTAACATTTGTTTTACGTATTATTAATTATTAATGAAACATTTATAAATCAAAAATTCTGGAAAATTATGAAATAAAGATTCGACGAAACTGATAAAAAAATCTGTTCAAATGTATTTTCATAGAGCCAATTAATATAGTGCGTCTATAGAATAAATGCCAAATCAATTGTAAAATTAGGGAGAAATTCGATATTGGTACACGTAACTACCAAACTCCTGACTGAGAAACGGTCATATTTAATTAACTGAAGATCAAGTGGCCCCTGATTATTCTTCTATATGTATAAGTACATAATACACAGAAACTAGACGACCATTTACCTTAATATTATCTGAAGACCACAAATTAACGAGGACATCGTTTTAATTACATTTACAAGTTCACATGATTAATTATCTTCGTTCATGGCTTCCTCGAATAGACGGCGAGTGCATAAATAATAAATGAAGTCATTGGTTTATTATCCTTACGTTAAAGAGACAACGACTGCGTGGACTAAAGAGGTGAAAGCAAAATTAACTCGGGGTTAAATAGCGTAAAAATGTCTATGCTTCTTAACTGTATAGGTCAGGCGATTAAGGAAAATGTTAAAGGAATTAGTAGCAGGGATTATTGAAGGTTGACCGAGATATAAAAAACGATGGTCAAAGCGTGCCTGTCTATCCTGCACCTACTTATACCATTATTTATTGCACATTCGTTAAACTGACCAGATAACAACAGTTCAATCGACTTTTCATTAAGAATAAAAACCATTCCCATCGGTACAATTATTATATTTACCCTTACCCCCATACTACCCATAGACTATTGCTATAATCTCAATATAGATACAGAGATTTGGATAGATTTGAAAAATATTCGAATAAACTAGTGACTCATTCGCTGCAGAAGGCAGGTATTATTTTATACACGAAATACGAGGTGTACGATGGAAACTCGAAAACGACACGAAGAGAGCAAACGCGTTTAGGAGACAGTTCGCAATGTGGTTACGTGTCCGTTGCACGTACTGTTGATTAATCTGCTGCTAGGAGCACAGGTAAATTTAGTAAACAGCCAGATGAAACTTTTGGTAGGCAAACATCATTTGCTTACAGAAACGTAATAATCGTGGGTCGTAGGTTTGTAGAGGATGACAGACACGGAATATCTAGTCCGATAACGTACATGCAAATTTCATAACGCATTGTGGAAGCCATTGTTGCACGTAAGTTCCTCGAATTCGTGCATTTGCGCGAAGTTTCATTATACAATGAAATAGTAATCGTGCCTCAGTTTCATGATTGTAACACAACACGTAATAAAAAGAAAGCAGTGGCATATTAGGTCGAGTGCGACATAATACAACGGAATTAAAAAATTAACGAAAGGTCGTTTGAATTGAATTCGAAACAAAAGGAGACATTCTTGACGGCTGAAATGCATTTGCGTGCACAATGCTAAAAATCTCCTTACCTGGCAACCGCTTCGCTGTATACGAATCCGGCAGTCGCTCTTCGAACGACCTCGAAGCATAAATCAGAGCCATCCATACTGGAACAGAAAACACGACGATTTACAAGGTGTCACAATTTATGAGAACGTCGTATCGGGGATGAACGGGCCGCTATTTATTTTACATGTGCATACGCATGTGCTCGAATTTGAATGGATTTCCAAGGAATGCATAATAAAACGTTCTAATCTTAGTCACATGAATTCATTGCGTATCCTACTAAGTCATGTCCTCAACGTGAATCCTATTTTTAATCGTTGTTTTAGAAACACCTCCAATCATTTCCAGAATGAACGCTCATATAAACTGTCGGAATTGTGATACTTACGTAAACCGAAGAATTTAGCTACCATTCATGGAGTTCGCGGGTTCCAGAAATAATGCACGCGGATATTTATAATACACGCGATAAACACGATTCAAATTAACGAACCACATTGACGATCAATAACCGGAAGCGTTGTACGAGTTGATCGCGTTAACAATCGTAACGAAGCTTCTTGCTGCAAACCGTACGTTGCTATTATTTGGAATGCATTCGATGTTAATTAGGTCAACTCTCGTTAACATAGAATTACGAGGAAGTGATGGTGTCAAGTAATCCCAATTACTTGCGCAGCACGTTTCGAGAAAAGTACATCAGTACAGCATTCTGACGAAGAATAAAACAGTCTGAATGTATCCAATTATTACAGATCTTTTATGAATATAAGACATACCTACAATGAACGAGAAACGAGAAGGAAATATGTAGCTATAATCGTTGGATCTTGTATTGCATTTAATGAAACATTTAATAAATAAGAAGCCTTCTTTACAAAAAATCCAAGACGTAATTACATGCGGGGAAGACACGTAAAGAATTTTATGACACAGTTAATCTCAGGTTTTATGACGAGACTTTATAAAAAGTTTTCCCGCAATATATTCAAGATGATGTACCATAGCGGTCATACCCGCGGATTAAGAACTTTGCGTGCTTCTTAATGCAAGTCTATTAAAACGTGTGATTAATTCGTATAATGCGACACGTCGAAACTGAACTCCATGGATATTAGATACATCCAATTAGTCAGCCGTGAAAGCTTATTTATTTCTTACGCGAGCGAAGCGAATACGATAGGGAAGCGTTACTTGCGATGATGGATTATGCAGGATTATTTTCACTATGGCAATTACGTTTTTGACACAGTATATCTTCGTCAAAGCACACTTAAAAGAGCAGTGAAAATGAATCACATCTAATATATATGTACATTATAAAAATATGCATGAAGTATTAAAATACTTTTATTGGTTTTTATATTATAGTGTGCATACATGTAGGGATTGCATAATTTTATTATAGAGGATGCACTAGCGAAAACTTGTATTACTGCTATTTAGCGTTTACTGCAAATTCTTGAAATAACAGTGATAATTGTGAGGTACGTGATTGTCAGATGCAGTTGCAAAGCGTACGACACGAAACATACGCGTATTTAACATAATCTCCATTGTCCTGCACATTACAGCAGTAACACGTACGTAAATGTAATCAAACATACCCGAATAATAACTTTTACAACAATCTCTCGCGTATGGTATAACAATATTATGATGGTGCTACACGTGTGCGCTATAAACGATTTCGTTAATACGTCCCGTGGAAACCAGAGCTCGGCTTTAAAGCAATATTTCCGCGTGCACGTGTTTTTGTTTCACCGTCGATATGGCCAGCTTCCCCGGAACCTACTCTCGGCCATTTCCACGCGTGAGATTACTCTAACGGATCCATTTCTCATCTTCCGTTACGAGATAGTAAAACACAGTTTTTTTTCTCCACTGCTAAATAGTGTTGAATTATTGTAAACATTTCCAGATTAAACGTCTCATTTTAAACAAATTCTTTATTCTAGTTTTAGTCATCTCTGTCGTAAATAATGTAACGATATTAAATAATATAAGTTAGTTGAATAGTAAAAATTCTGGGCTATGAAACAAAAATACGTTGAATTTATAACATCCAATAAATAAATGAATATGCAGCACAATTACTCTACAGGTGTTATGCAATGTTATTAATTAAAGTGAAATGCAGTAACAAAATCGATCGAACTCTGATATCAGATTTTAATACCAATATTCTGTTTTTATACATTTACACCTACGAATTTTATATTTTAACAGATATGAAAATCATTACTAAAATTGAGTAAAAAATAGTGATGACCTTTTTACGTCGCTGTTAATTGCTCTCGAAAACTTCCAGCTTAGAAAGTCGTTCGTCTCGTAATTCGTTTAAGAAATAAGAGCAAGGGATTGAAAGAAACGCGATGCTCGAGAGAGAGAGAGAGAGAGAGAACGGAAGCTGTGCATTAAAAAAGAGATTTCTCAAGAAATTACGAAGAAATCCGCGTAAACGCGAAACTAAGGCGTCCATCAACCCTCATTTTATACCCCTTTTCTTTGTGCGCACGTCTACAGCGTACCGTTTGCAAAAAAAACTCTAACTGAACTCTTCTAAACGTTAGATGAATACTCGAACGGAATCACGTGAATTCCCGTGATCTAAAGACGTCGTTGCCTCGTAACCACGTTTTCGTTCTCGTTGCCAGAACGTTAAAATCATGCAATTAAAAGAAAATCGAAAGAAGTGAAACATGCTACGTAGAGGTATTTTAGGAATGAAATAAAAATAAACGTGATTATACTTACTATTCGAATACCATGTAGAGCATACCCTCCGAGCTGTAGGTTTCGAGCAGCTCTACTATGTGGGGGTGTTTCAACATGTGGGATATCGTGGCTTCTCGTTTCAAATCTGCAATTAAATCATTTTTACGGTACATTAATTCTTGTTTCATGTAACGATATATTAATCATCATTAATTAAAAATTTTTATTCTATCATTACATTATAAATCATCCCTATTTCCTAATTCGGAATTAACTTTGTTAAACGGTGCCTTGTCTGGTATTCTGTCTCATTTTGAAAACAAATAAAACTCGCGACATGGCGTATTTATGTAACAACTTTTAAAACCTCGCGCTTCACAGGACCCGAATGAAACAGTAGTTTTTACAATTTGCCAACTTCCTCTCTACCTTTCAGGGAAAAGTTCCCTTGGGCGTCGATTTGGATAAAATAGATCAAAGGAACGGAGAAGCGAAAGACTGACGCTTTAATTTCATCTCTGACACAACGGTTTTATGTCAAAATTACGATGCTGCACGGTGTGACAATTTCTTAACCAACGGTGCAATAAATATGCGAAATATTATTTAAAAATTGTTTTCTAAATATTGTAACATTTAATTCCAGCAAATCTACTATTGCGTCAAACGTAAAAGAGAATCTTCTTTTAAAAAAAGAAAGAGACTGATGGAGAGGGTCGCTAAATTACGAAAGTTCTTGGGTCTCGACTGGCTCTACGAAATCCAGAGACGAATTTTTAAATATTTTACGCATGCCGTCAACAAGGCTACTCGTTTAACTTGAGAACAAACGAAATTGCTTCGATAAAGAACCGACACAGTCATACTGATTTACAATTTATATGCCAAAAACAGGATGAAGTTACGATACAATATAGGAGACTAAAACCAGGGCATAATATAAGGCATACTCTTCAAACTTTAGAAGAGAGTTCGTCAAAGTTGTAAAAACTCAACTTCCTCCAATGCAAACAGAAATTCATCTATCAAATGTATAATCATTGAAGAATTGCGTATTCTAAAAAAAATGAATGAACTGACTGACAATTAAGTACAAAATATAAATACATGATTTAAAAACATACGTATATAAAACCATGTGTTCCTACTTGATAAATTGATCGTATTAATTACTGCAGAATATGAAATAAAATGTTCATAAAGTAAAGAGGATAAAATACGGGAAATATATTTCACAATAATCGCGTTACAGACCCGGACTAATGAAATTGATTTTCATCGGTACGGTGACGTTCGAACGTCTCTTGAAATTACGTTCCAACTATGACGCATTTTCATAATATTATTAACTCATACAGCGACGTGTCTCTTTTATCTATTATTAGAACTATGTATCTCTTAGACATATGAAAAAAAGACAAGCTTTATTATTAGACACGTAGCAAATATACACGGTAAGGAGAACACGCCTACGACGGTATTCCGACAATAATACGTCTCATAAACAAATAATGACTTCCTCTTAAAAAAAATTAAAGAGATATGGCGACAAACCGAACGTGTCCCATTCCCCTTTAAAACAGAGTTTACGTTCTTTTTGTGTATTTTCATTATACGTTTATAATAATGAGTATAGACACATCCTTTTAGAATATAAAACTTTTCTGAAACTGAATTTGTTGGATATTCAATTACACAGTGAACATTATCTTCGACAAATGTAATTATTTTCGTGTAATATCAAATTTAAATGAATCGATTTAGAACATAGGAAACATTTTATTCAACGATGTGACAATTAATTTGATTGGTAATCTGGTTATGTCGAACTTCGCGAAGCAAAATGTAAAACCTAATTAAATTGACTCTAGGTAGAAAATCTATAAAGAAAAGTTCTCTCGAAATCACGTTAAACACCGTTCTGCTGGTATGCAAATAAAATGTCAGGTAGTAGGTTAACAATGTTAACGGGGAGGATTGCAAATAGAAATCCCGTTGAACCAACATTCTATCGATAGACAGAGAGACGTGTCCCCGATTCGCGTAAATAAAATCTTACCCTCCGCTGAGCCGGAAACGAAACTTGCCAATAACGCGATCCCGGGATTTACAGTTCATTTCTGGTATCCACCGTACACGTGTTTCACGTTAAACTCCCCCGAAATACATCCGAGCTTAAACGAACGAAAACGATTTTAATCGAATCTGGCGTAGAACGAAAGCGCGGGCAGAACTTGAAATCACAGCGCATCGTGTAAAAGAGCATACGTAAACGCGAGATCGAGCACAGAGAATACATTTGTTTCGAACAGGCAGCGGAAATTAATGCCGGAACACACCGGCACGCGTTGCATAGATAGATAGATATGTATACGTGTACACACGTACGCAGGCATAATGCGAAAGCGCGCGTGCATTCTGATTATTCCCCGCGGACTTACCGTTCGTGCTTAGACCTGGGCTGGATGTGAACTTCGCTACGTCCACGATTTTTACCGCGAACGTCTGCCCTGTCTGTCGGTGAATGCATTTCCTAACCACGCTGAATGGTCCCCTGAAACAGAACCAGAAACAACGGGCTTGAATGATCGTAATCACGGCCACGGAGTCTTTTGTGCTCAAGTCATCCCTTCCCTATTATGGGCTCGGTAAACGCGGTGACTGGATTAGGCTTATTGTTAGCTACATGCGAGTTCGATCGCCAGTACATTTATAATTATTTTCTTTCCGCAATATAAAATATTCGCCAAAATCACTGTAAATTAATTAAAACTGTTCAAATGCTTAGTTAATGTTTATTAAAAATTGATAACTAATAATGAAACTTGTGTTCAGTCTAATCTCGAAGTGGCCTAATTTGCCTTGTACTAACCACGCAGCATTCATCGCATTCACGAAAGCCATACTGCCTGTTATAGCGATCGGATCACGCGTTATTACGACTCGGATTCGATCCGTCTGGTACGCGCGATACCTGTTTAAGTTCGACTAAGTAACCACGGTGCCGCGCCTGCAATTGGCCCGTCCTAAATTGTAAGCGCAAGCATTTACAAGAGGAACGTATGATATTTGGGTCACCGATTTTGATTAAATTCAACCTACAGAGTATGTACGAATAATTATAATAATTGCAACGAACAGATCCGACAAAGACGTAATTTGTATAATAACAATTTCTGTAGTAGTTCGTGTATTTTTCATGTCTATGTATATGAATCCCACTAAATCGTACACGTATGCATTTGCAAAGGGAATTATTGATATTTGGATCGCTAGTTTGGATTAAATTTATCAGACGCTTATATTGATAATTACGAAATTGATTGTAAAAATTAATTGAAGTTGATTATATTTATTCTGAATGGTAATATGTGCAACAAGTATTTATTCCCACATAAACGATTTACGTGAAAAAGCTCATACCTCGGTGCTCGAAGATTCGTGTCAAGAACCAAGGAGACGATAACTAAAGGAGCAAAACCCGACTTCGCGACATATCTCACGATATCATCGACAGAATCAACTTTTATCTTCTAGTGCTGTCTAAAGGGTAGGAAAAGTGTACCGTTAGGAAACACAGCCTCTGGGGTATTTTATCTGTAGACAGGATGAGCAAGAAATTACCTCTCGAAATATCTAAAATATTCCTTGTATTCAATAAAATTGATAAGCTATTCAACTAATTAATTTTGATCTTCTAAACCTATTATTTGACTACTGTTATTACACTATAATTATGCTCTACTCAAGGATATTCTGGGATTGGTAACTTTAATTGTTTCACAAACATTTTAGAAGGAATGACTCGAAGCGCAGAGGTTTCCAATCAGCTACATGAACACGTAAACCTTGAACACCTCAAAAACCCTCTACCCTCGCTTTCCCCGGCGTTTGACGTTAAACGGATTATGTCGAATAACATCGTAGAACTATCGTTGTTGAAAGCTCGGCCGTTCGACAATCGTTCAACATACGAAGAACCAGTAAGAAGGTTTGCTTGCTCGCGTCCCACTTTTTACAAGAAATTATCGACACCTAGATGTTACTTAACAGCGATCGATCAACGTAGCGACGACGCTTTAAATTAACTTTCAAGCATCTTAATCTGTCCATACTACATAAAGATACTTAAACGAAAGATTTATTCCCTATTTGATTAAAACACTTTTCGTTGTGCAGTATAGCATTTATTTTTAATGATTAATCTGTATATTAAATATGTCATAAAATAAAATTTCAAATTTTCAGCTAACAATTTTTTCCCTGTCACGCATTGTTCGCACAGCGAACTTTTTCAGTATATGAATCTCAGTTCTCCTCGTGACAATTTTATCATGCAAATAAAAATTAATTTATTCGTTAACAAAATTAAAAGCATTTTATACAATATTGCATCGGAGAAGTGAATTTAAGCATTAATTACAGTCTGAAAATTTGTTGAAATTTGTAAATGACGATTCGACCGTGTATTCAACCTCAATGCATTCGGTATTTATTTTTATGGATATTCGCACCCTCTAATTTTTGTATATGAGTAGAATAAAATGTAAATGTTATACATTAAATTTTTATGTTTAACTAAAATTAAGTACTCCGTTGTTTAGCTGTTTCCACTGTGGTAGTTAAGGATTAAACTCTATAACTAATCCCAACGTTCCTTAACAGAATGCAAGGGGGTAATGCGTCTTCTTCATTACGTAGTTTGGTTCATCAACAGTGACCTCATTAATTCGTAAATCTCCCAAGAGTCTCGTCCCAGAATCGCCCAACGTCTATTTAAATCCTAATTGCGGTTCCTATGAAATTGGCTCGTTTCATAGAGAAGAAAGAATTCTGTGACATTCAACACTGCGATATCGTCCAAAAGAAATAGTAAATTGAACATTAAACTTGGATTCTTATTCGACCGCAATGCCAATATTGAACCTCATTTAATTAGAAGAGCTTCCTGCAATCCTCATCTATTTATCGTTTTCATTCCGACAGAATATGAATTTTTCTTCTTGCACAAAATCCTTAATACGTTCTTTTTTATTTACAACCGTAATTTCAGCCGTATCGTAGCTCGTAAATTAGCTAAGATTCAAAATCCTCTCTACAATACTGTAGCCATGAGTCATGCGCTGTAGCTGTTATGCTACAGCGCAGAGTGCAATAATTATGAAAATCTATGCGCAACAAAATAGCGTTTATGATTTATAAATTCGACGCACGCTTTAAAGGAGGAGGAACACCTGCCTACAAATTGTACGCTTCATCAAAATTCATATTTTACACATTCATTTATACACAGCAAATCTATATAAAAAAAAGGATAAGATGCATGTATAAACATGAACTAATGCCTGTTTTCTATTAAAAGTTAGGTTCAATAAATACTTCATGAGATGACCCGATATTTTTTGCAGATTGTACATAAATTAAGCGTCGTATCTCTTATAATGCAGACGAGATAGTACAGTATTTCTGTTTTATTACTAAAATGACTCCTTTCTTGTTCTCAATTTCTTAGATGACGATTTTAAAGAAACGAACTGAACGCTGATTAAAAACATACTAGATGGATTTTTAAAATAGCGTAACACTTTATGCAAAGTGATTCAAATAACAGGATTACAAAGTGTGTTGTTAATGACACAATTGTTTGTGTAGACGTTCATCAGAGTGATCGTAGTTAAAATATACGAACGTCGAGAATTGCTATATTGACCTTATTGTCACTTGTAAATTAACCATCAGACTATCGTAATTGAACTTCAGTGTAACACTTTTGATCGAACACTATTCCATATTCCATGGGCCTTACCAAGAAATTAGCTTCACAGTTTCGTCCGTTATCGTACGTGCGCCACGATTTGAAACAAAGCGAGGACGTCTAATATGATTTATAGCAATCCTATATTTCGTACAGTGACAGATGGTCAGTTTAGAGTTTTTTTACTCGAAATATCTAAAATATTCCTTGTATTCAATAAAATTGATAAGCTATTCAACTAATTAATTTTGATCTTCTAAACCTATTATTTGACTACTGTTATTACACTATAATTATGCTCTACTCAAGGATATTCTGGGATTGGTAACTTTAATTGTTTCACAAACATTTTAGAAGGAATGACTCGAAGCGCAGAGGTTTCCAATCAGCTACATGAACACGTAAACCTTGAACACCTCAAAAACCCTCTACCCTCGCTTTCCCCGGCGTTTGACGTTAAACGGATTATGTCGAATAACATCGTAGAACTATCGTTGTTGAAAGCTCGGCCGTTCGACAATCGTTCAACATACGAAGAACCAGTAAGAAGGTTTGCTTGCTCGCGTCCCACTTTTTACAAGAAATTATCGACACCTAGATGTTACTTAACAGCGATCGATCAACGTAGCGACGACGCTTTAAATTAACTTTCAAGCATCTTAATCTGTCCATACTACATAAAGATACTTAAACGAAAGATTTATTCCCTATTTGATTAAAACACTTTTCGTTGTGCAGTATAGCATTTATTTTTAATGATTAATCTGTATATTAAATATGTCATAAAATAAAATTTCAAATTTTCAGCTAACAATTTTTTCCCTGTCACGCATTGTTCGCACAGCGAACTTTTTCAGTATATGAATCTCAGTTCTCCTCGTGACAATTTTATCATGCAAATAAAAATTAATTTATTCGTTAACAAAATTAAAAGCATTTTATACAATATTGCATCGGAGAAGTGAATTTAAGCATTAATTACAGTCTGAAAATTTGTTGAAATTTGTAAATGACGATTCGACCGTGTATTCAACCTCAATGCATTCGGTATTTATTTTTATGGATATTCGCACCCTCTAATTTTTGTATATGAGTAGAATAAAATGTAAATGTTATACATTAAATTTTTATGTTTAACTAAAATTAAGTACTCCGTTGTTTAGCTGTTTCCACTGTGGTAGTTAAGGATTAAACTCTATAACTAATCCCAACGTTCCTTAACAGAATGCAAGGGGGTAATGCGTCTTCTTCATTACGTAGTTTGGTTCATCAACAGTGACCTCATTAATTCGTAAATCTCCCAAGAGTCTCGTCCCAGAATCGCCCAACGTCTATTTAAATCCTAATTGCGGTTCCTATGAAATTGGCTCGTTTCATAGAGAAGAAAGAATTCTGTGACATTCAACACTGCGATATCGTCCAAAAGAAATAGTAAATTGAACATTAAACTTGGATTCTTATTCGACCGCAATGCCAATATTGAACCTCATTTAATTAGAAGAGCTTCCTGCAATCCTCATCTATTTATCGTTTTCATTCCGACAGAATATGAATTTTTCTTCTTGCACAAAATCCTTAATACGTTCTTTTTTATTTACAACCGTAATTTCAGCCGTATCGTAGCTCGTAAATTAGCTAAGATTCAAAATCCTCTCTACAATACTGTAGCCATGAGTCATGCGCTGTAGCTGTTATGCTACAGCGCAGAGTGCAATAATTATGAAAATCTATGCGCAACAAAATAGCGTTTATGATTTATAAATTCGACGCACGCTTTAAAGGAGGAGGAACACCTGCCTACAAATTGTACGCTTCATCAAAATTCATATTTTACACATTCATTTATACACAGCAAATCTATATAAAAAAAAGGATAAGATGCATGTATAAACATGAACTAATGCCTGTTTTCTATTAAAAGTTAGGTTCAATAAATACTTCATGAGATGACCCGATATTTTTTGCAGATTGTACATAAATTAAGCGTCGTATCTCTTATAATGCAGACGAGATAGTACAGTATTTCTGTTTTATTACTAAAATGACTCCTTTCTTGTTCTCAATTTCTTAGATGACGATTTTAAAGAAACGAACTGAACGCTGATTAAAAACATACTAGATGGATTTTTAAAATAGCGTAACACTTTATGCAAAGTGATTCAAATAACAGGATTACAAAGTGTGTTGTTAATGACACAATTGTTTGTGTAGACGTTCATCAGAGTGATCGTAGTTAAAATATACGAACGTCGAGAATTGCTATATTGACCTTATTGTCACTTGTAAATTAACCATCAGACTATCGTAATTGAACTTCAGTGTAACACTTTTGATCGAACACTATTCCATATTCCATGGGCCTTACCAAGAAATTAGCTTCACAGTTTCGTCCGTTATCGTACGTGCGCCACGATTTGAAACAAAGCGAGGACGTCTAATATGATTTATAGCAATCCTATATTTCGTACAGTGACAGATGGTCAGTTTAGAGTTTTTTTCCCCATATTCGTTACGACTTGTCAGAACCGCACGTTGAGCATTCAAAGCACGATCCTCGTCCGAAACTTGAATCATTCGAATTTAATTTTAACAATCTACCATTCATCCGACAGTTATATTTTTTGTATAGGATAGAAATTCCTCTCTAGCTCTCAATTTTTTAAGCAATAGAGTGAAAGTTTTATGTTGCATAAAAATCTGTGGACCGAACAAGAGTAACTAACTGAAGTAATCACTATTTTCACGCCAACTAATGGGTAATAAATATGCGAAATCAGATTAATGGAAGCGTCTAGTATTCTAGTGCAATTAAATGCCACGCGCTTACAAATGCGAAACCGGGTGTTCGCAATCAGTATGAAAGCGCATCGTCGAAGTCGTGCTGCATCGACAATGATATTCCATCTCCATAGTTCGGTTATTTCCACATTATTGGACTCGGGAGCGAACTAGCTGGTCGCGATAACGGAATGCGGAGAATGAGAAACAGAGTTTAGCGATTTCAATTGCTAAAAAAAATTACATGCCAACGGATGGTTTTAGATTATGAGTGACAATGAAATTTTATTACAGTATACAATTACATATTTATACGACTAGTTCGAAATACAAACAAAAAGGAACAAATCATTCCAAAAATATTTCCACTATTTTTTAATAAGAAATTTCCGGACAAGAATATAAATACTGCAATACAGAAGAGCGAACATCGAACCACGAAACTGACAACGTTGCCGTTAACAAGATTGAAAGCTCGAACCTCGACGTAGAAAGTTAAATACTGAAGTTTATTTGGCACGTGTATTTGGGAAACAATGTCGCGTCAGTTCGTATTCAAGATGATCTTTCCCGTGACGCGATGGAGGGTAACTTGATTTCAGGGAGTCAATCTTCTTCTCACCTCCGACTTGAAGAGGATCGAACTTTCTCACTTCATCAGTATTCTCGATTCAACTACACTCGCTTGCCTCGACCTACCTCTAAAGTCTGTCATCCTCTGCGTTCAGGACAAAAATACATTTTGTCCTTGATATATATTAAATAACTGTAACAGGTATTAAATAAAACGTGCAGTAGGTTCTATCGTTAACACCTCCAGTCCGATAGCATTTTTACAATAAACTAGACATAAACAGACACAATATTAAACTGTTTTATGAAGTTTCTTTAAAATAGACATCACAGTTCGGAACATTACAGCTGCTTCTCGGTGGCGAGCTATTAATGAAAGCATTTAGGAAACCGAGGGGAACGTTACAAGTTTTGCTGTAAATTATTCTTAGGGCATCCAAGTTTGTGCATTTACCCATGCACTCATGGTAGGAAGTGAACAACAACCGATATCCTGTTCTAAGATGATAATGGCAAAGGGCATGTAAACTAACTGCTATGAAACTCGCTAGAAAGTCATTCGAAAATTCATATCGTAGGTATACAACGGTGTTCTCACACACAGATCTTTGAAAACTTATATCGATTGATAGTGATGGCAGTAACAGAACTTAGTTTTGAATATTTCATAGGATGTAAAATATTTTCCGTATTCACAGAAGTGCTCGATAGTTTAGTAGAATTATTGGACTCCATGGTATACGAATCAAAAGGAAGTTTATGAATTAGAAAAGAGCTCCACGATGAAAACGATTTCTAATGAATGAAATGAATTCCAAGCGAAATTCATATTAATGAAATTTTATAGAACAAACATGTTCACTTTGGATTTTCCTGATTGCGTATGTACTCATGTCGACCCTTCACCAATAATTTAGTAATTTCTCTTTCCTATTAAGACGTTAAGTATAATCGTTTCAAGAGTTTGCTGAAGCATTCCCATCGCATAGTTCCTCACCATCAAATCGTTCCAAGTACACAACCTTATTACGTTATAAACCTGATCGTACGAGAGTGATGTTTGCTCAGTCAACAAATTCGACGATCAGAAAAATACGCGCGAGATCAGACGCATCGGGCAGACAGCAGGAAACGTAAGACGATTGCATTATCTCCAACAGGTTCACAGCGGACGACCGCTCGCAATTAAGTTCAAGGCCGAATTCCATCATCAAGAATTTACTCTTCTCTAACTTCTCAGAAAACATGTAGACAGAGCTGGCTGTATACACGACCCTTCAGAACCGAGTTACGAGGGGGATGAAAAGTAGGGCGAGCACCGTAAAAGGAACGACTGGCCTGCTGCATTTCACCTGCTACGTGCCACTGTTAGGGACCTCGCTTCTGCTATTTCGCGTATTTATTGGAACTCTTTCGCCGGTCGTTTCGATCGAGCAGGCAGGAACGTATGCGGTGCAATCTTTCGACAGCTCACTCCTTCCCACGCGAAACGTAGTTCCATTCCTTCTCATCGACGTGCTCCTCGATAAATTGGATTTTTAATTGACATTCTCCCAGTGACCTCGTACGTGTAATTCGGAAAAAAAGAAGATAGAAACGAGAACAGAACAGGCAGAGTAGGTAACAGGTTTACTCGGTGGTCGATAGGTATATAACGAGAACTTCAAAATAGACATGTTCGTCACAAGATTTCCTCGAAGCTCTTGAAATGTTCCGTCGAACGATATGTTACAACTAATGCGTTATCTATAAATATAACGCACTGTTACGATACTTCATACTCGACTTGTTTCATTCTTTTATTATATTTTATCGATACTGAAACTGCGCGATTTCAAGTATTTCAATTAAAAAGTTATTCGATATTCATCGTTGTATGCTCTAAGTTGTGTATAGATAGATTAGACTGGTATGTCCATCGTGAAATGTTGAGAATCGATAAAAATTGAAACATAACTGAAATAAATAATATTTAACAAATATTCCATCTGCTTTTATTCTGTTACATTAAATACGATAAATATTTTTCATACTTTTATATCTTAAATACTGAAACTTCAAAAATCGAAATCATCAAAATTTAACAACAAACTTGAAAATTTCATGAACGTAAACTTCCAATGAAATGAAAAGTTGATACCTACCTACGATGTTCCGTTTCGAACTCCTCATATCCTTTGATCTTACACACATTGAGAAAGAATCAAACCATTTCTGAACATGAATTAGATCGTGCCAGAAATATTATAGTATAATGAAAACAAATCTTCATAAAAGAAAGATGTTGCCACAATAATAAAATACAATTTCCAATATCAACGATATACACCTTCATGAACGTATCATGTTGATATTTGTTACATCGTCATATCACATGTTTATCAGGAAAAATAGATAAAACGACATCTCAGCCCTGTACGAAAGCCTACCTCATTCGTCATACGTATGATAATATATTTATAAGATAATATTGTTATTCATGTGTCATACAAAGGGTGGGTGGATCACGTTGCTTGGGGATAATTTATGGGAACATAAACTAAAAATTCCACGATAGGGAGTATGTATTACCTTGCAGAACAAGCACCTTTCCCCGATTCTTACATCCTTACCCGTTCAACCCTTTCGAGTCAACAACTGTATACGCACGTCATCGTTCGTACACGCGGTGCATGCTCACGCGCGCGCGCCCATTGCATTCCCGGATTCAATACCTGCATGCCTAACCTAAGAGCATATACATGCTACACACGCATACACGTAACGCATGTCTGTCAAAGAGTATCCTCTGACTGTCGAACACGGTGTCTTATATCTGTTTCATCCCCCAGTATAAGGAAACAACGTTCCGCATTTTGACAGCTCCCCTAACCCGTGCGTTAGCTATGACTCAGAGACGGATGCGACGCAGCTGTCACGTCCGTTTCATTATTCATGGATTTCATTTACTACTCACTTGCCGATAATCTCGCAGAGCTCGTAAACCTCGTCGAAGAGTACCTCGTCGTCCGCCATAGTAGCGACGAGGAGGTCGAAGAAGTCGACCGTGCAAGGGGGTTACACGCGCCAAAAGGCGCGTCAGAGCTATGCGAATTCGTAATAATTTGTAGGGCGTGCGCGTCTTTTTCCACCCGTGTGCCCCAGCCGACGACGGTGGCCTGTTGTGTTTCGTGTTGTGCCGTGTGGAATACGCGGCGGCGTGAACGTAGCCGCGTATCGTTGATTCACGGCCGCCTTCGTACTCCCACCCTTCTCCTCTTGCTGCCCTATCTCTCTCGCGTCACCTGACAGCACGTATGCGTTCTCCTCTACGCGCACGTTACGCACACACACATGTAGGTTAATACACCCGTGTTAGCACGCCCGATTGTCGTCGCACTGGCACTCACGGATCGGTACACGCGAGTCCACGACCGTTTCAATCGTGAATCATATCGGGTTAACCGCGCAAGAAATTTTTCACGATGCCAGGAGCCGTTGAATACACAACCGACACCGCCTTTAAAGCCTTGCCATTCTGTCGCCGGCAAGGGCAGCGCATACACAACTGGCGGCGATACGCAGTACGGACGTTTGCAAGGACGTGTTCTGACAGAAACACGAAAATGCCGGGTTCAGTGGAATAGGTTGTCCCGACCGGACAGTCGGTCGCGCGATTAACGAGGACCGATCAGCGAGAAGCGACCCAGACAGACACCAATGTCACTACACACACTTTCCTCGTCTGTCAAACGCTGGAGGAGTAGATTCACTCGCTCCGAAGACTGGTTGCATAAAACGCGGCGAGCGACTGCGCCAACCCAACGTCCACCCCTCCTGACACCGCCGAGCGATGTTCGGGATGGTGGGGCGGGCGTGGCGCCGCGCCGCGCCGCGCGTGCAATCTTTGGCGGAGAAACACGCTCGCTGCGGTCACTTCTGCAATAACGATATTATCCATTCTGTACAAAAGTAATTCTATCAACAACATAACACGTAGTCCATGCGATCACGCCTGTTGACATCTCATTTGCAGATAATCAAGCGTGAACATGTCGAAGAAAAGCGCAAGAGGTAAATTCGAAGGGGCTGCGTGCAGATTCAACTTCCGATGATACATTATCGAGGGAGCTTGAGTTCCACGAGCGCGAAAATCAGGTTAGTTCAATCACCCAGGAGAGATTACTCGGTGGTTAGATCACTTTAGTTATTAGAACTATGATTAAACCTCGGATGTTCTTTGCAAGAATTCGATTTCGAAAGCATTAAATTATTATGAATTATACGTACATGATTATATTATTCAGATATTGTATTTATCGATATTCAAGATTAGGAAGATATTACCGTAAATATGATAATCCTTCAAAAATTTCGTCCATATCCTCTTTTTGTCCGAAAACCGCTAACACTACAATTGCTCTATTGCGTCCCCAAATTTGTCGAAGTGCGTGAGTACCTAGTGCCATAAATTGTAGCTCATTCTCTAAGTATTTCAGATGTTTGTGATCATATCCCTTCAGAATCGTTATCCTTCGTCTGTTTTTACAAGAAGATACAAATAAATTGTGTATAAGATACACACTGTTAATTAACTCGCATTATATAGTACCCGCTTTTTGCCCAAATATCAACGTATTGGTATTTCACTGTATCGGTATCCAACTGGTTATATAGGATTAGCAAAGCATTTGCAATCTGAAATGAATCTTATAAGTCGCATGTATAAACACGCAATGTTAAAGAGAATATAATTAATTACATTTTCTGCTGCAACTCCTATATTCATACGCAGATCAGTATTGAGTATTGCATAAAATAAATACTGCGTCGTAGCATGCCCACGTGAAATAGTAATATCAAGTCTTCTGCGCTTGTTGTTTACTTGTCTCAAGTTTCTGTGATTAAATCGTATCAGATACAGTTTAATTTTACGTCTATAGAAATACAGGTAATTCAATGAATGTATTGTACCTGTTCGGTGTCTTCATTGGGTTAAACATATGCTTATTCTTTCTCTTTTCATTACATATTTCGTAGCTTTTCTGTTTATATTTCATTACAAAGTTTCTACGATTACGGACTTCTGTATTTCTTTTCACATTCGAGTTTCTTTGTACCGAACCTGGATAAATTCTATGCGATGTGAACGCCACGCAGAGAACTGTATCATCATCTGCCGCATTATATCAGTTCTTATCTGAATTCAAACAGGTTCCATCTTAATTGTGAAGTGAATAAACATATTCTTCGTTAATTTATCTACAATATTTATACGCTTGTGGAATAGAAATCGAAAGAAAATTTAATTAGTTATCGACTCAACTGAAATTGCGTATACAAGATTTCAAAATCTCGCAAACAGTGTATATCGACAGTTCGAATAACCGGCAATTTCAGGGTAGCAGTGTAGTGTTTGATATGATTAGGTTAGAATAGCTATTTTCCTAATTAAAAATATTCGTCGTAAATCTGAATGTCATGTGATTATTACGAGACTTTTCGATATTAACAGTGGTTAATATTTGAACGGACGTTTATTGAACTGAGATCAATTTTCCGTGGCGATAAAGTCTATGTGGATGGTTGTCAAAATATCAACCAACTTTACTGTCAAACGATTTTTATACGACTTTGATAGAAGAAAAAAAACGTGACACATAATTTGGATTGTACTAACATCGACGAGATATTTCATGTATTGAAAATGGCTGCAAGTGAACCAAGTGTGTCATTACCATCTAGAGAAGATAATAATTGGAGAAAAGACGTAATTTTACAATTACAAGATAGGAATAGGAGGCAAACATATTGTTTTACGGATCTTATTAGTTTACGTAAGATTTCATTCTTTATGTTGATTAGTGTTATCAGGTTCATTCAGTTAACTGTACAATATCACTTTGTTCCTATTATTTTACACTTATCCAATACACGAAGTTTTTGTGTATTACATATTTATCTACATTTATGTTCTTTGAAATAAAATATGTAATATTTAATATTGTTGATCATTTGCAGATAACAGATTGTTTGAAAGTACAAATACTTTACGTGGAGAAAATATACAACTTACAATAACAAATGAAACTCTCCGTCGTGAGGCTGTTAGTGGAACTCTTGGATTAAATGTGAATTCTGATCTTGAAGCTCGTCTCTTAAAGCAGGCAGAAGAATTAGCAACGCTACACAAAAGAAAGGGAGAACATACGCAACAAATAGTAGATCTTAATAATAAATTACAAGAAGTGACCAAGGAGCTTCAAGCTAAAGAAACAAGGTACATATGTGTTACAGAATCTCCTAAATTAAATATATTTTGAATGTTGAGATATTAATTAATGATGTATTTAATAAATATTTTACAGTCTTGCTGAAAGCCTGGAACTCAACGCCAATTTACGTCTAGAGATGTCCAAATGTGTGAGCAGAGAGAGAGAATTAGAAAGTGTCAATCAAATGTTAAAAGACGAGCATCAAGCTTTGCAACTCGCTTTTGCATCTTTAGAAGAGAAACTCAGGAAAGCACAGGTATTGTATATTTTATTATTATCGTTACCATTATTAATTTAGTTTATTTATTATAATTACATTTAAAGTGACAATTCATACAGTTCTAACGTATTTCTCCTAAATTTTTAGGAAGAAAATCGTCTGTTAGTTGAACGCTTAATCAAGTACAAAACTAGAGATGCTGAGAAAGTAAATGAAGAAAACGACAACTTTTTAAAGTAAGTACTAGATTGATTTTATTTCTCCTATTCATATAAAGCAACTTACACGTTGCTTATTAATATTTTAAAGCAAAACGGCGCTCAATCTTTATATATATATTTTATCATGAAAGTAGAACTACTTTCTTCATATATGAATCAAAATCACAGCACATACTTTGATGAATAGTGCCTACTTGCTATATCTTTTAAAAGCTGTATGTTCACGCAAAACTGTATAGTATTTTTATGTGCATAATTGGTTTCTCTGTTCTACTATAATTTCTTGGTACTATGCATTTTCTTTCTTTAATACTGTAGATTCTGTTTACAGTAGTTGCGTTCTATTTGTTTTCTGCAAACTTTGGTTTATAATTTGTCCTATTATTACAGCTTATCTTTGAATGCTTTGCTAATTGCCCACAAGTTAATGTGAATTTTAAAATACTTAAGGGGCTAGGCCTAGTCTCATGACTTTTCTAATATTTGTAAATTTTTGTCGATGACCCAGCAAGAACAAATTGAAAAAAAGGAATTTCGGATCTCAGTACAACCTTTCTTTAGCATAAAAGTAGTTCAATTTCAAAGCAGAGTAGCTACGATGTTTGCTTCACTTTGTAACACTTGTTTCATTAGATATCTGCATAATATCATTGGATAATGACTAGAGTGCCGGACTTGTTTAAACTCGTAGTTATTCCTAAATTTGGTGGGTAACATTGACGCTCTGCCTTATCGTGCAGATATGGAGCCTAGCCCCTTACGGTAACTGGGATTCTCTTTATTTGAAAATGGTTTATATTATATAAATCTTAAATCTATGTTTATCGCATTTGTGTGAATCATTTTAAAATCGAATCGTTCACTAAAATATGAAAGGTATGTAGCAACACAGCTAATAAATAATTAAGAACATTTTTTATAGACTGATTATAATGAAATTGAGTTATTGATTGACATTTTAATAATCTGATATATGCCTTTTATTATAGTTTGCATATTCTATGTATTTATTTAGGGAATGTTTTTATTAATGCCTAGATTTAGATAATAATGAAGCAATATAATAATCACAATTTTCCATTATCGTTCGCGACATATGTCACGCACATACGTACTGTGGAATGATATTTGTGTAGTATCTGACGGCAAAAACTCTCACAATTTAAAAAGAAAGTATTTTATACATGGGAATTTAAAAAGATCGATGGATCGAGCAATTTAACATAATTTCAATAATGATATTCATTTCTACTTGACCTCATATACATTCATTTATAATATTGCATGTTTTCTAAACTACAATAAAGATTTTAAGAATGAGGAGCATTACATCAAGCATGCTAATCAAATTAATTTCAATTATCCAAATATCATGGATTATTTACGAAAGAATAAAAGTATAGGTCAGAGCTTAATATTATATGTAACAATTAATAGACTTAGGCATTTATTCTGGTTGTAATAGATTTACTCTTTCCATTTTTTGAATTCTTTGTTTTATACATTTGGTTATAGTTTTAATGAACTTGGTGTCTATTACAATACGTTAAACATTATGGGTCACAGGGGATGTGGTAATATTTGATTATTGTAACTTACATGAATGATCGCAAAAGGTAAATAATTCTGAAGCCGATGTTTTCGTCAAGAGTGATCGTAATTTTTTTAAATCCAACACGTTTTACTGTAGCTAATTAATGTTGAATAGAGCATCGACAAAAATGAGAAAAAAGTAGTATTTTTCAATTAATCATAAACATTCGCATGAAATATGTACAATTCTTTGTGTAAATTATTTAGAAAATATATCTTCTCCGGAAAAACAGTGAGGCACCAGGTACCAGACTTTTTGTAGCACTGGATATTAGCACTTCACGCTGCTTGACATTTTCTTTTCAGTGAGAGTTTTTCCAGTCCGACAGCCTTTTTGATGCATACCATATCAAAGTTTGGGTAAGTCTGTGAAAGTGTCGTGACAGAAATTACGCTTACCGCTCAGTTATAGCTTTGGGTAATTTGTTAAAGGAACTTGATCGTTATTACTATACGTCCGTACACGTTCATACTCTCTTCGTTTCTTTAAGCTTTACATGAGTATTCTATGTGTATTACTATATAACGAGTTAATATGTACGAAATCGCGATGTAAACGAATAAACTTAAAGCGGAGAAAGAGGACTTACGAGGACATAAGAGGCATTTATGCTTAAACACATATATCATCGAACAACTATGTTAAGCTAAATGTGGAATTATAACGATCGTCACAAGTGAATACGACTAATGTAAATAATAAAGGATAGGAGGAACGTTCTAAAATAGCAACTAACTGAGAATCATACTTGTTCATACAAGAGAATAACAGCGAAGCACTGATTTTACTAATTACTATTTGCATGAACCGTAACAATACGATGATCGGAAGAGAAAACGCATTATTCCCAATACCTGGGTATTCATGGAGCATTAGTTCATTTCTGGTCATTGTACGGGTTTCACTGAAAGTTGGGAACCGTTATGATTTGTTTTCCAGAAAAAGACAAGCAAAGGTGCAAAGGGAACTTGAGGACGCAGCACGTGACACGCGACCAGTTAGTCCGGATAGGTCAAGCTTAAAAGAAGGCATTGCTGGTCTTCCTACTGCGGTACCAACGAAAGTGTCCGTCACGTTTGTACGTTGACAAAGCTTCAATTTATAAAATACTTTATATATATGCAT